ACCAGTAACCAGTATTGATGTTTCGGCATCGATGACGGCGATTTTTTTTCCACTAACATGAAGCTAAGAATGTCTTCTTCCGTTATAATTTAACTTTTCAATCATACAGGCATATATTGTGAGAAACACAACGTTCAAAAGGCCATGTTTTTTGTTGTGCCCGAATTTCACTGCTCTGCTATTGCGTCTAATTAGTACGTAATCGGATTAGCTTTGCTTAACTACGGCAGACGCTTTGCCTTAGTAACCACATGACTGCGTAAGTACAGAATAAGGCTAAGGCAGGGTACGAGCGCTATATGGACACTATTATAAAGGCTTACGTAGGGTACAGTCAGTATTCATATTAACAATACACTTGAAACGTAAGGAAAAAATAAGGCTAAGACAGGGTACGAGCGCTACGATAGACACTATTATAAGGGCTTACGTAGGGTACAGGTTCAGGTTTCAGGTTCAGGTTTATTTATTTCCACAGTATTAATCCAACAAAAGTTAACCATAGAAAGTAATATATAAATAAATAAATAAATAAATAAATAAATGGATATATAAAGATGCAATTAACGAGCAAGTGATACTGCAGAGGGATCCATTAAGAAGCAAAGCTTGTAAGCAATGGTCCCTATATTAAGCAAACACGTGCATTGAGCCTACAGAAAGAAGATACAAGAGAGGGCATGAGATTGGGAGACAAAAAATACCAACAGGGCTCAGTGCACATGTTGCTTACAAAAGCTAAGTTTAACTTACAGATGTGAACAAACAAAAACCGACAAGAACCTAATGGCATGGGCTATATACAATGTAGGCTCGCTAACTGGATTAAAATGAACAATTGCATTGCAGGGATTCAGCTATAAGCTTCTAACAAAATAGATTTGTAAATACGTTTAAAGGTCGAAATGTTTTTGGAGGCTTTAAGTTTATCAGGAACTGAATTCCAAAGCATGGGTCCCTCGTGTTTAACCTTTTTATGGGCAAAAGAAGTACGGGTGTATGGAATGTGAAAATTAGAGGCTTGACGAGTAAAGTAAGAATGAATTTCGAGATTCCGAGAAAAAAATACTTTTAAAGGAGGAAGGTATATTGTTACTGGCGACCTTGTACATGAGGGACCCAAGCTGATAATGATAAATATCATGGAGTTTTAAAGTTTCATGTTTTAAGAACAGGGGATCTGTATGTGCATTAAAATCTGAGAAGTTTATTATTCAAAGGGCCCGTTTCTGCAGGAGGAGAAGTCTGTTTAAATATTTGTCAGCGGCACCTCCCCATGCGATTATCCCATAATTAATGTATGATACAACCAGGGTATTGTACAGAGAATCAAGAACGGGTCCGGGAAAGAAATGTTTAATCTTATTAAACAACACCAATATTCCTAGCGATAATTTTACAAATATGATCGATATGAATTACCAATTCGCAGCAGACTTAAGCTCCTTGTTAACTGTGTGCACAAGGTGATTAATGTCACTATATGAAAAAAGTAAATTGGAGTCATCAGCAAACAATATAAATGATAGCACACTAGAAGAATTTGTAAAGTCGTTAATATATAATATAAAACGCAATGGCCCAAGGATGGATCCCTGAGGTACGCCATGGGTAAGAATACCAGAACTTGAATTTATACCATTAATTGATACATACTGCGATCTATTCGAAAGATAGCTCCTAAACCATTCAAGAGGAATTCCTCTGATACCATAAAATGACAGTTTATGCAATAATATGTTATGGTCAATAGTATCAAATGCCTTAGAGAGGTCAAGAAATATTCCCATAGTGTGTTTCGAGTCATCAATCGCATTAGAAACTTTATCACAGTCACTATTCAGATATTTACAATACACTTGGAACGTAAGGAAAGAATCAGGCTAAGGCAGGGTGTGAGCGCTACAATAGAAACTATTATAAGGGTTTACGTAGGGTACAGTCAGTATTGAGATTTACAATACACTTGGAACGTAAGGAAAGAATAAGGCTAAGGCAGGGTACGAGCACTACAATAGAAACTATGTAGGATTAAAAAGGCTTACGTATAGGGAACAGTCAGTATTCAGATTAACAATACACTCGGAACGCAAGAAAATAACAAGGCTAAGGCAGGGTACGAGCGCTACTTAGAAGAGTAATAAAAACGGTACGTAGGATTATAAATGCTTACGCAGGGTACAGTCAGTATTCAGATTAACAAGACATACACATTGTATGCCTGTAAAAGCTAAAGGCCACCGTCGGGTACTGTCACTCTGAAAGCAAGACGAAAGTGAGGCACGAAATGGGGAACGTTCGACAAAATATATGTGCCCGTGTGAATATCAATGATGAGGAGAGGGCACTTGTTTTAAATGCATATGGCCATCAGTTTATAAACAAAGAAGAGGTTTATGGAGTAAATCATAAGTTTATGAAGTAAATCACCAATGTTTTACGACGCTGAGAAAAAAGTTTGGGTCATTACGTTTAGAATTCCAATAAAACTAACAAACTTAGCTGACCCAAGTTTCGGCAAGTCCTTCCAATTTGTATTTATAATTATTTATTTATAATACATGGGATATAATTGATAACAAGTCTTTTATTTTGTTAATTTCAGTTTTTATGTATCGGAGATTATACGATAGAGCTTCAAAGAAACAGAGATTTGTCTGTGTTTACTTTTATTGACAGGAAAATGGTTGACAAACTTTGTCGAAAGATTTCAACATGAGTTTGAGTTGTGCACTACAGTGTCCTATACATGTATACGCGTACATGTACAACATTTCCAGTGCATTTCTTCATCACTTCATTATGTCGCCTATAGGTACAACACTATACAACTCCACTCTATTGTTCCCAATCCTGCCACTTAGAATGTTCTTTTGTTATGTTGATATTTGTACCGTTCAACGACTTGGAATCCTCTTGCATTGTTACCATGATTAATACAAGCAGCGAACAATTTAAATAATTAAAGTAAGGCAGTAGACGGTCATGGTGGGCGGTAACTGTGTGTGGAGCGTGGCAAGCAAAGCTTTTCATTGACTGAGACCAAAATGCCCGTCCTGCGTACGTTATAAACGAATGAACACTAATTAGGCCCTACGGTTCGTCCCATGTGATGTTTCGTGAATGAAAATAAAATCAACAATTTACCTTCTAAGTTAAGACGACCCCTGTAGGGCGCCCAGCCTGCCTGGTTGCCCCAGAACGTTGAAGCTGTAATGTTTGCATCTAGGATGCGTCTATCTTCCATACCAAGGGGTCCAGCCTCAGAGCACTCCAAATATGTCGTATAGGTATCTGTATCTGTAGCGTACTGCAAGCAAACTCCACTATGGGATATACGGTTGTAGGCGCGTGGTGGCTAGCAGCATCCCTAAACAATGTTGTTAGTAGGCCCCCTTAGTGTTGAAGACAACTGCATCTCATGGAGTCTTGACTTAAAGGACTCCACTGAAGTAGCTTCCCTGACTTCTGTAGGAAGTAGGTTCCACTGAGCTGTTGTTCTTGGTAGGAAAGAGTATCTGTAGCAGTCCTTCTTAGATGTAGGGTGAACAAAGGATAATGAAGATGATTTTCTAGTTGACATTTTGTCCCGTGTGGAATCAACTTGGTACTGATCAACATCAATTGCGATTTTGTGGTGAATGGATTTGTAGAGCAAGGTTAGTCTGGATATGGTTCTGCGTTCCTCCAATGATTTCCATCCGAGGTGGGTGATCATGGATGAGACACTACTTGTGCGCCTGAAGTCCTTACAGACGAACCTGGCGCGTAATACACGACCTAATTGTGGCAAGAGACCAGTTTATTGTGTGACCTTTGCGCGCGTGCGGATCGAGACTTGACCTCATCGATAGACGGCGCGAAATCGAAAGTGAAACATTTTCACTTTCAGTTTCAGAAGTGGACTGGTGGAGGGCCTCGCTAAACTCGGCCTTGTCTTGCATCCAGTGAGTATTTAAACAAATCATACCTACATTTATTATGTTTAATACAAAATCTTTCAATCTTGAATCATGAATGGTCTTGAATCGGACCATTAGTAGTATAGTATAGTAGTTTAGTATAGTAGTAAAATATAGTAGTTACGAAGCAAACTCTCATATTTCTTCCAGCGCAATAAAAGATGCAGCAAAACCTTTGTGAAACTTCACTGGTCAGCTCTTTCGTTGTGAGTAGTATGTGTGGGACTGAAAATGGACCGTAATTGCCTGCAGAAGTCGCGCATGCGCACTAGTTTCCCCCATTTTTCGGCGGGAGATTTTAGCAGATTCTCTAGACGTTGTTCCTGACAAGTCGCGCTCTTGCATAAATGTTGTTTGTTTGTTGTTGTTTTTTTACTTTGTCTCACTAACGTGGGGGCAGGGCCAAAAATAAGACCGTCTGTATAAATTCGAACAAACACAGTTCCTTTGTATAGCTCCATACAAGTTGATCACCGCACGTTTAGCGCGTATGTTTACAACCGTCGGGTGAGCCATTGAACCTTTCTTCGATCGCTGGTTGGCTCCATAGGAAAGCGATGATTTATTTATTTATTATTACATTTCTTTACCCAGGGTATGCCCAAACAGTTTAAAACTGGTTTCGATGGGGGCCCTGCATACACTAAAAATGATTACAAACATGTACATATACAAAAACAATACAATTCAATACAATGGGATAAAAGCATTATTTGACATGCATAATTGTTAAGCAAATGTTATAAATACAATATTATTGCAAAACTATTATAACTGCATGTAGAGTGTGAAACAACATCGCTAACAGGCTTAACTATAAGGTGAATTCAGTGAACACGTACAATTTGGAACTATCTTGTAACATCAAGAACAAATATAATTATATTCGCTGATTACGGGAGGGGCGAAAAACTCGCGAAAACCCCTTTTGGGAAAAACACGGGGAAATTCCCATCCGGCTCCTTATTGTTATTGCAACCAAGTTTGTTAACTCCGTAGATCAGCACATATTTAGATTTGTATAATCAGAGAAGAATAATGCTGGTAGAGATACGGGCAAAACCTTTCAACATAACCATCTTACAGGCGTACGCACCAACACAAGATTATTCTGACGACGAGATCGAAGACTTCTATGGAAAAATAGAGAATACCATCAGACAAGTAAAATCAAGGGATGTACTTATAGTCATGGGAGATTTCAACGCCAAAGTTGGCGGATCACACCAACCACCCACAACAGACAAATATGGCCTAGGAGAACAAAATGACAGGGGAGAAAGACTAATACAATTCTGCGAGGAGCACAATCTAGTTATTGGGAATACCTTTTTCCAACACCCACAAAGAAGATTATACACCGGGTCAAGTCCAGGAGACATGTACCGGAACCAGATAGACTTCATCATGATCAGAGGCAGATTTAAAAACAGCTTCAAACAGGTAAAGACATACCCTGGAGCAGACATCTACTCAGACCACAAGCCAGTAGTGGCGACAATTGCATTGAAAGTGAAGAAAACACAAAATCCAAACTATGGAACAAAGAAATATGATCTATCTACTCTTCAACAACCAGACATGCGGCATTCATACGCAGTTGAGGTGCAGAACAGATTTGAGACACTGCTAAAGGAAGACACCGAACAACATGAAAGCGACGTAGACAGGATAGAGGCACAATGGAAAAACATAAAAGAAAGTATACAACATGCCAACGAGGAAACTCTTCACCGGAAGGAAAGAAAGGCCAAGCATCCATGGATGACGGATCATATCCTAAAACTCATGACCGAAAGGAAAAAGAAGAAAAACACAGCGGAATATCACTCAATTAACAAACAGATTCAGAAAGAGTGCCGAAAGAGAAAGGAGGCATGGCTACAAAGGAAATGCGAGGAGATCGAAACCCTGGATAGAAAACATCAAACAAAAGAAATGTATGACAGGATCAAAGAGCTGACAAACACAAAACCAACAAACAAAGGAACTGGCTGCATAAGAAGTAAAGAGGGAAGCATCATCTTTGACCAACAAGAAATATCAAGCAGATGGGTTGAATATGTGACTGAGCTGTTCGGTGATGAGAGAGAACCAAAACCCACCATCAATAATGAGGATGGCCCACCGATCCTCCTACAGGAGGTCAAATATGCCATAAATCAACTCAGATGTGGAAAAGCTCCTGGACCTGACAGCATCACTGCTGAGATGCTAAAAGCACTTGAGAAAGAAAGTCTAGAAACATTTACAGAACTGTGTAAAAACATCTACAATACGGTCCATATCCCAGAAGACTTTAGACAATCAATTTTTGTGACAATCCCGAAGAAAATGAAAGACATGGACAAGGGATGATCCAGAACACAATTTTTTGGGGGGCCAAAAAAATTGTTGGTCCCCCAAAAAAGTGGGTCAAAAAATGACGGCGTGGCGTTCGGGGCCCGCTTAAGGGCCCCGACATTTTTTTGGATGCTAGATGCTCTGTGGTGCGATCTGAGGCAATTTCTGACCATCTTAACCAATGTTTTTTGAGGAAAAGATGGTGGTGTACTCATTGCCTGCCTTTATTGCGATGTCACATAAAAAAAAATTGGTTTCGTTTTTTTTTTTTTTTTTTTTTTTGGGGGGGGGGGCATGGCCCCCTTTGCCCCCCCCCGGATCCCCCCTTGGACATGGATTGCACAGACTTCAGAACCATCAGTCTGATGATTCACGTGGTCAAAATGTTACTCCGGATCATCTTGGAGCGTATTAAAAACAAGATCAACAGAGAAGTTGGGAAGGAGCAATGTGGATTTAGACCTTCTAGCGGAACAAGGGAAGCAATCATCAATATGAGATCAATAAGCGAAAGACACATAGAACTAGACACTGAGGTACATGTATGCTTCATTGACTATGCAAAAGCATTTGACAAAGTTCACCACAAAGCAATGATCGACTGCTTGCAAGCAATCGGTTTAGACGGCAAAGACGTCCGCCTGATTGAAAACCTGTACTGGGATCAAGTAGCAGCAATACAGATTGGCAACACACTCTCTCCCACTGTTGAAATCAAGAACGGGGTGAGACAGGGATGTGTACTCTCACCCAGCTTATTCAATATCTACACAGAAGTGATCTTCAGAGAAATTGAAGATTACAGAGGGGTTAATGTGGGAGGATTCAATGTGAATAACCTACGATATGCAGATGACACAGTCCTCATGGCAAAAACAGAAAGGGATCTACAAAACATTGTGGACAAAATCAAAGAAGAAAGCGAAAAACACGGGCTTAAAATGAACGTCAAGAAGACAAAAACAATGGTCATCAGTAAGAGGAAGTCTAAAACCAGCGTCCAGGTTGACGGGAAAGAACTGGAACAGGTCGACTCCTTCATCTACTTAGGACAAATGATAACGGAAGATGGGCGATGCCAAGATGAAATCAAACGAAGGATAGCTATTGGCAAATCTGTCTTCAATAAAAGGAAACACATCTTCACATCAAGAAACATCAACATCAAAACACGGCTAAGACTAATAAAATGCTACATCTGGTCAACAGTACTATATGGAGCAGAAACATGGACATTGACGAAAGATTCAATCAACCGACTCGAAGCATTCGAAATGTGGACATACAGAAGAATGCTGCGCATCCCCTGGATAGTTAAAATGACCAACAAACAAGTCCTTCAAATAGCACTGACAAAGAAATCCCTAATAAAAACAGTAAAATACAGGAAGACAAACTACTTTGGACACATGATGAGAAACCAAATGCTGCAGAAGACTCTTTTGGAAGGCAAACTAGAGGGGAAAAGACCAAGAGGAAGAAGAAGAACATCGTGGTTTGATAATGTGAGAGACTGGACTGGCCTTAGCTACATGGAATGTGCAAGGGCATCTCAGGACAGAGACAGATGGAAATCCATTGCAGCCAACCTTCTGCGAGAAGACGGCACCTGATTGATTGATTGAATCAGAGAAGACAGCGACAAATACCCACATCATTATTTTCCGCAATATTACTAACTGGACGTTATACGTAGTTCAGATTTGAATGAGGTTAGCGAAGTCATGGTTCTCAACTGCACATGCAAATTATTCCATATGTGTAGCGGTCAAACTCAGATACATTTCTATTTTTCGCCAAGTGAGGGCGCTGTTGCGGGAAGACGACAGCTAAGCAAAAAAGCAACATGGCTTCAGCTCGATCTCGCCGAGTTGCATCTCGATAGAGTTGTTCTTCACCCAAAACATTAATCTGGCCAAGGTTTATAAAACGGTTCGTTACTCTTAAATACTTTATATCAATGATTCAGTAATTAATGTGATATTTAGTGATATTTTGTAAGCCTAAAAGTTGTACAAATGTATACATGTATTTTCAACGCATGTTATTTTGGATCATGTTATTAAGCACATGTACAAGTATTATACAGGGTGTACATAAACCCTTCTTGATTTATGTCATGGTCGATAAACTCACATCTGTCCTTGTACATTGTAGGGGCCTACACACATGTGTATGTGTATTTTCATAAACATTGCCTTTAGTTTGGACATTTATAGTACATGTAAATGTAAGTGATATGTAATTCAGTCAGCTGATTCTGTTAATTAGGTTACACAAACTCTGGATTATTTCTTGTAACACATACATTTTATTTTCCATTTTAATTATTATAGTCAATCTGTGCCTGTACTTGAGCCTGACATGTGTACGACTACCAAACTGTAAGAAAAAGTTGTACAAGACAATAAATTGTTCTGGATCTGCGCACAGCATTTTAGTCAGTAATCTTTGGCAGATTCAATATGATTGAACCGGTTACAGGAAAGCTTGAAACATAACATTGTTGTTGTTGTTGTTGTTGCTGTTTTTGGAAAAAGGAATCTTCAGTGCCATATCAGTGGATTGTCTCGTTTCACGAATCTGAATAAGTGATGTAAACATATTTGTCATATACAAAGGAGTAATTTTGTTTATACATTTGTAAACAAGAATAGCCTTTTTTATACTCGACTCTTTCAGCAAATGACAGCTCATTAAGGCTAGGAAACACATTGGTTGAAGGAGTTAAGAATGCACACTTCAGGATTATCCGCGCGGCTCTTTTCAGACATTTATTATGAACATTGTCGTGTGATGTGTACCTTCCTCCCCATACAGTAATATAATAATCTGAAGATGGCATTACTAAGCTAACACAAAGAGAGTGAAGACTGCTTTGGGGAACTTAGTCGCGGATTCTATTTAGCATGCCTAGTTTAGAGGAAACTGTTCTCTTCACGTATTCAACGTGTGGGCCCGTACTTAAAGTTTCATCAATAATAGCACCTAAACATTCACAAGAGTTCACCTTTACAACTTGACTACCAGCAATACTGACGTTAAGGCTAGTTCTGCAGAGTATTATTTTAGTTTCAATAAGCATGGATTTGGTTTTACTGGCGTTTATCACACTTGTTGTATCACACTTGTCTCGCGTGTTGCCACTCATTGGGGTATTGTTCGCATATTATGGAGAGGTTAAAGATGTGCGTTAATGATTTAGTTTATGTACGGAGACGCTATTGTATTCATTTTAACACTAATTCCATCTGGATCTGTTGCTTTTCCGACCAACATTGATGATATTTGCTGTTGAACCTAGTCTTCATTAATCTCAGGCAGTAAGCACTTTTCTTCATGTGAATCTCAGTGTTGTAGTCGAGTGCTTTCTTTTCGAGTACCGAGTACTGCCATGTTTTAGGTTGCCGAGTACCAGTGCTACAACACTGGTGAATCTGTATCGAAAGAGCGGATATTGATGTCCACTTCGAGTTCAAATGGAGGAGCGCGTGTTCCGATTGTTGAGAAATGTTAACGCTATATCATGTACGTTCGCATGGGGATAATTCCTCCTCTACGTCATTATGTACAATCTCAGCAAGAAATTGTTTCCCAGTGTTCTTTCAGCAAAACGAAAACAAATCACATAAGAATGTGTGTGAATTGTTTTCGTTTTGCTGAAAAAAACGCACACTTTGTTTTTGTGATCCGTGAACAGAACTTTAAAACGGTGGTTGTGTTTAGCTCCGTAACTTGAAAAGTATATGAATGATTTGAATGATTTTTGTACTGAAAAAAAAAAGTTTTTGAATTGGGCTTTCATATCCTAGACTTTGAAAGTGCTACATGCAGAAATTCACTAAAACAATGGTCCCGACCTTTGGGTTTCGTTTTTTTTTTACTCACCCTGTATAGCCAGCTATAGCCCTATTTTTTAAAGTCATAATGACACCAAAGTCTCAACGTCAACTCTGTTACCACCCTGCCTTTTGAAGCAGCAGCAGAAAGCTACCTTAAGACCTTGTCTGATTTTTTTGTATTTAAACACATAGATGATTGGATTGATGACTGAATTGAAATAAAACAGTAAATATAAGTGAAAACTCTGGTACAGCAGTAGCCCTTTGATCCACAGAACGAGAACTGAGCCTCGTCTGTTCGATGCAAGCAGAGAAGAGTAACATAATCCAGTGTCCAAATCAAAAGGTCATATGCTGCTGCATTTGCATGCCGCAGGTTCAGGGCTTTTGCTTTTCTTTTGAGAGAAACGTGCATCTTATAATAGTCCAAACTCATCAGTGTTAGGGGCAGCAAGTATATATACAAAGAGAAATCACAATATATTTTTTCAGAATTGGGAATAGCCGGTGAGGATATTTGAATGAGCAAATCTTGTTGGGATCATCGATGGGTTCGATTGTAAAAAGCAAAGGTACATGCACAACAAATGATGTCACCCAAAACCATGACAGTTAAAAGTAATCATCCGTGCTGTTGTGAGTTTCCTCGCGTAGTGTAGAGGGTGTACTATGGCAATGTACCTCTCTAATGTAACCACACAGAGATGTAGGCAGAGGCGCACGACAATGCAAATGCAAATACTTTGATGCTAGATGTCGGCAGAACAAGTCTCTCACGGTGATGCTTACTGTAGAAAAAGCAGTATGATGCTGTATAATAAAAGAATACTTGCAGACACAGCAGCATATCAGTAACAGCCAAATTCACCAGCAGGTAGTTGGTCATGTTGTGTAGGAATTTGATGCGTAGGATGACGTAGCACACCAAGAGGTTCCCTAAGACACCAATATCTCCTTCTGCTACCATGATGTGACACACCCACTTCTGTCCAGTTGGTTGTACAGTGTAATCATCAGAGGCATTCGTTTGTTTTTTTTACAATTTGGTGCATACAGTTCGTTGGTCTAGTAATGGATTAAACTGAAGCATCCCTTTGTAGATCTCAAGTGGGGAGTTAATTTTGCTCACTGCAGATCGAGTCGTTTCACATCAAGGGATCTCGTGATGCTTCT